GTTTGGCGGATCCGGATCGTCTCATCTGCTATTACAATCCGGCGGTTTCGAAAGAGCTAAATGCTTCGTGCTCCGAGTTTCACATTTCTTTGGACGGAACTTCGACTATTGTGCTCAAAGGTGGGCTCAACAGTATACCTGCTTGATAAAGAGCCCTCATTCGGGGAAGAGGTTCCCGGCCTTTGTATTCCTTTTGGCGAACAAGAAGTTCGAAACTTACTATTCAGCCTTCTCTGTTCTCCGAGATTTCTTACGTAGACCTGTAGCAAGCTGCACTTTGGATTTTGAACCCGCCGCAGTGAGTGCCGTTGAGGCAATTTTCCCACATTCTGCAATCTCTCTCTGTTATTTTCATCTGTGCAAGAATTTGATAAAACAATTTAAAAAGCTTAAACTTTTAAAAGACGAAACGGGTTTCAAATCATATTACAACTTGGCTTCTCTTCCTTTCCTGCCCCCAGGCCTCGTTTTGAAGGGTCTGGAAGCCGCAGTTTCTGAAATTGATGTGCAAAGAGCCGATCTCGTGAAATCATACTTCATTAACACCTACGTTGGTGATCACAAAGTATTCAAACCATCTCGGTGGTGTACTCGCTATCGGGTACATGCCAATTTGGCGCGCACGAATAACGACATTGAGGGGTTCCACTCGACAATCGCTAGCATTGTATCCAGAGTGTCCTCCTTCCTCGTATCCGTCCGGCGGAGCTCTAGCAGGCGACTTTCCGGCTCTCTGTACGCCGAAGACCTAGTGGGGCTCCTGACGCCTAGATCTTTCGTGGGTGGTGGTGCCGTTGATGAGTTTATGTACGTCCTAAAACGCCAATGCGGTGACATGCTGTGTGAGCCTCATCCACTCTCGGACTTTCACGCTGTTGCTCTACGTGATAGAGGATATCCACGAGCACCGCCAGGGGACGGTTTGGTTCTTCAACCGTTGCATGTAAATGGCTGCCATTTCATTGGAATGGTGCGGTCAGACGGGCAGGTGTATCTGATTGATAGTTTGTCTATGGATCATGCGATATCAGCAAACGTTCGTCAAGTTGTTACCCATTTTTTCGATGCTGAGCCGTCTCCAGTGGTGGCTATCTTCCTCGGCCTTCAGCAGCAAAGCCCACTGTCTAACCTGTGCGCGCTTCATGTCTTGGCCCGTTTTGTAGACATCGTCCTACAAACCCCTCATTTTAGCGATATCACTTACGATGAGTCTCAGATGCGAGAGCATGCGTACGATTGCATTATTAATGACAGGATATCGCCTTTCCCGCGAGCATCCGCGACGGACGCTGTAGGGATTCGGAAATCCGTGTCGTCTCCAGTCTTGTTTTGATCAACTATTTTGTCTTCCGTTCCACTGTTTCATTGCGAGGGATTGAGTTTTCAATCCGTTAACAACTAGCTGAAATACGCGATTTCCATAAGCAAAGCGTTTGAATTCATAGTAGCGACTGTAGAAGAAGTGCGGTAACCTTGTTGTTGAACAATTCTGG